ATTATTTGTTTTTCATTCATTTTGATATGGCATAACATTGGTATATGAACTAAATTAATACCACTTAAAATACACATTAAGCTAACAAATGAGCCATAAATCAATTACTTATTTACATACATAATTAAATTACGGTATTTGATGAAAATATTTTTGATAATTTAAACAAAACTGTTGTTATTAAGTGAAAATACATCAAAACAGATAAAAAATTGGATAGTCTATTTTTGGTAATGTTTTTAGATCATGGTCAATTAGAGTATCGATTTATCTCTTACAGTAATAGCAATTTTAATGAATAACAAAGAAATAATATCCAAAATCTATAAAAAGAATATAATATTTATATTATCGACATTTTATTTAATAATCCATTGAACACCAGAAATATATGCAAACCTCATATCCTCTGAATCTTGTGATGAGAAATAGTTTCCAACAGTAAAACCCAATCCCTTTCCCACCCAATCGCTCAATCAATGCCATTAACTGTAAGATGTGTTTGATTTAAAATATATTTATATACAGTATTAATATATCATTTATATTTTATATATTATACATAACCTTTAATCTACGGCTAATAGTTAGCGACACATTAGTTCGGTTACGCGAGTAATAAGTGTTGAAATATTTATATAGAATAATATTCTGATTGTAAAGAATCGCTGAATAGTGTATAATAAACACCAAACTTAATATGAATTCTATGGCTACAAAGAATATGGACATTTTCAGTATGAATATAACGTCCCTATAAAGTGATACGAATAATATTATGGCAATGAAAACAGTTACCAGGATCCAATAAATAGCCAAAAAGTATTGCCAATAAATACGGTTATATTCATCGATTTCTGTGAATATTGCGTTAAGTTTACGCATAATTTGATGAAGATTTTGAATCCTATTATCAATGGCTACTAATCGTTGAATAAATGACTGAATTTTAAGCCACAAATAGTAGACAATAATCGCGTAATACACTAATTGCCACATTATTATGTTATTCATATAATAAGCACCTAGTCCTAATAGGATACTATGGATACAAGTTATCAGTACCAGTAAATAGGTGGGTGATTTGAGTCCCAATAAAAATAAACATATATTACATATGGAACACACGTAGAATAATAAGTTTGTTATAATTTGTGTACATTTAATGCATTTTCTGCTGAATGTAAGCAATTTGATGACCACTTGTTTGTCGTGAATCCCAATACTAATGGGTGTTATTAAACCCGAAAGCATTGAAAATACGCTCAAATCCCGCTTCTGTAAAGAATATTCCCAATCATTGCTATAAATATATATAACTATTGCTATTAATTACTATAAATATAGTTATGATTATATAAACGACAGACAAATGAATGTATAATAAAAATGATTGTAATATTTGAGAGATAATTAGTTTTTTAGTTACAATTTAAGAGAAACAAATTACCATGATACAAAAAACAAATTGTGTATTATACGTGAAAACAAACTATAAGTCATTTTTAGTTATTATAATTATTTTTTGAATTAACAGTAAAATTGATTTTAATTTAAAAATTATTTTTGTCTTATTTGATCTAAATTTGTCAACAAATATAACACATTAAACAAAACGCCAACAAAATCAAGGATTTAATGAATAATTTAATTAATAAAAAGTAAATCAAATACAAAAGTCAAACTCCACAAATTATTTATTAAATTTTTGAATTTGCTTTTATGTTTTATATCAACCTAGCTAAACATAGCATATCATAACTAGCAAAACAATAAACTATCCTAACTATCTATCTAGCTAAACACAACTTACTAGTTAGTCGTTGTAAGTTAAAGTTGCAAACGTATAGCAATTTGTTCATAAATTTATATTAGTTTTCTATGGATTTTCACAAATATTGTTAGCTTTTAAAAATGATTTTTTAAATCAAAATTGCATTAATTACATGAAATTTAACTTTAAATCAGAGAAAACTTCAAACATAGGTTTTTAACATAGGATTCAATTACTTTGCGTTAATTTTAGTAAACTTTTCATAAAACAATAAATAAATGGATAATTATTTCATTGTTTGCAATTTATAAGATGTATTAAAAATAACCATGCAAAATTAGGCGTAATTAATTTTTGGCGTAAATTTACGCGTAATTTTACATTTTACCGTAATTAACCAAAAATAAGCAAAAATTGTTAATAAAATGGAATATCAATGGAATCGACATGAAAATCAGAGCTATAATTAGTTATACTATAATTTCAAAGTAACTATCATTGTTCCTGATGAAAATCTGAAAAATTTGAATAGATATCATTTGAGCTTGAACTATTATATATAGAATGAATGGCAATTAATTTTTCCATGCGTTTATTATCCTTTTGTTTACTAGTAAGATATTATAAGATCTCATTAATTTGAATATCAGTAAATATTTAAATAATAACTCAATTACGGTAAGTGATGTGAATAATAACATATGGCACTCGAATTTTAAACACATTAATATTTAAAAATAATATGTACTAGTAGACTTAATTTTAAAGTGTACGATCATAACTTTTAAATATTATGAAATAAATATATTTCTTTTTAGTTTCCTTAAAGTCAGACAAAAATCTAAAATTTCAAAAGACATTAGACTATCATAAAGCAAAGGTATGATGTATTTAACATGCAATAGTTTTGCATAGAAATTAATCCTAGCAAAATATTACATTTAATCATTTTATATTATAATATAAATTGTACCGCGGTTCCGGGAGGTATATAGAATCACCCGGTTAGTTATAACTTCTAAGTATAGAATAATGAAATTAATACCATTCCCAATCAACTAGCAAACCATTTATATAATATACTTAATAATACCAGTGTTTTACATATCATTACAATTTTCACGTTTTTATTATCACCTGTTATTAACAGGTTATTAAAACTTAATGAAAAAACAAATATTAATTTTTAGGTTTCTAAGAAAATCAAAACCTATTGACTCAACGTATTGTTTCGTGTGTACAGATACTCTGTAGTTATAAAATTGTGTACGGTAACTTATGAATTGAAATTAAAATATTATGTCAACTTTATACCTCTCACTTTCTAATGTCACACAGTTTGTAAGCCAACATTTTTAGCTAATTTGAAAATTATCATTTACGTGTCTAGCTAGCCAATTTTAGAGCAGTATGCTTTATTCAATTATTCGCTAAATTAATAAACAATATGTAAAAATGTTTTTAATTAAGTTTTGTTTTTCTATAAGTTTTGCGCATGTTATTGTGTAAACTGTCAATAATAAAGTCAATATAAAAATTATTTATTTTTCTATTGTACTTTTAAATACTATTTGTATAAATGTATAAATATATTTAGACTTTAGCTATACGTAGAGTATAATGAATTAACAAAACATAATATAAAACATACAATGTAACAAATAATAATTAATAATTAATAAATAATAATTAATTTTATGCTAATGAATTTCGTAAGTATTATGTATAGATATATTAAGGTTAATTAAATTTTATTGCAAAACACTACAGTAACCTTGGTAAATGTCGACAAAATATAATTTCTTAATTATTATTATTCTTATTTAGATATAACAAATAGGATTATTAAAAGTCAGTCATTATTACTGTATCATTCATTTAAATACTGATAGAAATATAAAATAATGTAATATAATTAAATTTATTTTATTATACTGTAAAATTATATAGGTGATTTATGTGACATAAATAATTAATTTGTTATATTATACAATATGCTAGTTCATCCAAAAACAAAATCGTGGAACGATTTAAACTTTATTATTAATTCAAGAATTCATTTATAGTTTGATTATTTAGAGTCATTACAAAAATCTAAATTTTCTAAATATATTAGATTTTATATTTAACTTAAATAAACAATATGCGGATTCATCCAATGGAAACGCTACCCCGGGTCAAGATTAATAAAGTAATACCCGGATCATTGGCTATAAGTAGTGCCGGCACTCACTTGTATAGCATCGGTCTCTCAAACCATAAGCCATTGAATGCTCCGAAGAGGCGATCGTTTCACAAACCGATTGTTGTTTTCGTTTCACTTTTCTCTCAATACTTTTTGCGACAATTGGTGTCAATACTAATACCTCAACAAAATCCAGAGTTTTATGCCATCATTGGAGACATTGCCTATATTTTAGGCACAGTGTGGATACAGGCATCCATTGCCATGATTGTCATCACAATTATAGTCCTATCCTCACAGTTACTAAACTTTTATAACTTCATGAATGGTATAAAACCGCGGGATTTAAGCGTATTTTCAATGCTTTCGGGTTTAATAACACCCATTAGTATTGGGATTCACGACAAACAAGTGGTCATCAAATTGCTTACATTAATATTTTTGAAAATCAAAAACTGATTAAATTAATGAATGTGTTTTTTATGAATCATAGGGATACATTTAGCCCAGTTATAAGAACCCACTTTTTATCCATTTTTATTGCATTCCTAATAATAACCTATTCAAATGAATTCCCAAATTCCGGTTGTTTTGAATAACCAATGCAAATAGAATTTTATAATTTTAGGCAACAATACCCTAAAATTATAAAACATATTCTAAAACTTTAAGATAGTTATTCAAATGGATCGGGAAGGTTTAAGAAATAAAATGCACTTAACAACTTGATCTATCACAATTAAAGAAATGTTAATTATTTATTAAATTTCTTATTTAATTAATATTGGCAAATTTAATTCCAATAAATTGAACAATAACAATAACTTTTATTTTATCAATTGACATTAACTAGAAACTAATTAACTAGACTACAGGTAATAGATATTTGATATTCATATTACAATTTAATGAAAAAATAGTTTTCATACCAAATGGGCTTCAAATACCATTCACTACCCAAAAGTTAATCACAATTTGCGTACTAATAGTAAGACTACTAAAACACATTTGACTTATAAAATAAATTTTTACACAATTATAATGAGACTATTGTTGGCTTTCATTGTATTAGTGGTCGGGATTAACGGTAAGCCCTTAACCTTACTTAGCATGCGATCAGAGTTTAGCGCAAATTATCCCAAACTTTGATCACAACTACAGCCGACCGGGAGGTGATTGTCATACCTCGTGAGCAACCACTCGCTGGTGAACAGCCAGACTACAGACAACAACAACACCTGCAGATCAATAATGTCGGACCCGTTCCCAAAGCCATTGTCATCAGCGGTGGTGATGGCGAACCGGTAGGTGATAGTCAGCCCCTCATGAATGCGGTGCTCATGAATGCCATTCGGAATCAGATGAACAGACGCGACGCGAACGGCACAGACATCCCGGAAGTGGTGATCGCGGACCCGGAACAGCAGCCACAGGTCGTACAGCAGCTCCAGAGGGGGTCCGGCGAACAGGAGGTCGTGGAAAAGGTGTATAAACTGCCGGCAATGACACGAATGATCTCATCCGAGGAGCAGACCGACGCCAAAGACTATCAGCCCTCCCGTAAGCACCAGCTCTGGCGGAGTCCCATACCGTTCCTACACGAGGGCTGTCCTATGCATAACCAGATGCAGCACCAGATCCACACACACAAGAAGTCGGCTAAAGGCTTGCGACGGAGAGGTACCACCAGTTGCACAGCCATTGCCCTATAGTTTATGCCCTTTTACTGTATAACCTTATATTGAGTCAAAATAATTGATTTATAGGGCGACGACAGCATAAAACGACTACCACTACGACCACCACAACCGCACCGGTAGTTGATATCGATAACGAGGTACAGCGCCCGCAACTACCGCCTCCTTTGCGCTCACTATTGCCGTCGATACTAATGTCCAGACTTTCTGGACGTCCGGAACCGGACTCAGAAACACCCGAACCTGCGTTCAACCCCATAGGCGCCGGTATGCCAGCTCGGGGAGCTATAATAATGTCGATATCCCGTCCCCACTCGGACTCATCACCAATGCTGCCATTCCTGGCTCCCAAACCAGCGGCCGATATGTTTAGTCCCATTCCCAGAATACCACTACTGATGGCAATAATACGGAAACGGCTTATGGAGTCTTCAGCGCCGGGAGAAGAGTCACCACAACTGCCAGCCCTGCCGGACGTACAGCCTATTGGGCCATTCAATCCATTTTTGGCACTTTTGGCCAAAATTCGTAACAGAATTGTGGAAAAAAGTCAAGAATTGTCGCCAAAAGAGTTCACTAATGCTAATAAAGATAAGAAATTTAGCTTCAATTTCAATGTTAACCTCACTATCAATAATAATTATGGGGACAGGGAGGCCAGGGTTGTCAGGAAACCATTCAGTTTCCCACTGTTCGCCAGTCTTTGAATTATTTTTTGAAATTTATGTTTTTAAATACAATTTTCATGTAATGAATGCTATTTTGATAATAAAATAATTTTTAAGACCAAAATAATTGTTAAAATCTATGGAAAACTATGTATTGAATTAGGAAATGGGTTTATAATCGTATAAATTAATTATAAAATGAGTTTAGTTTTTATGATTAATTATTTTGAGCATAACTTTTAATTAAGAAATTTTTCCATACGTTAATCGTTTAATTATTTTTCATTTTGTGTTTTATTTTATTTAAGAAAATATTTTCGTTAAAGCAATAAATGGTCTAAATATTGAATTTCCAAAATGTTTTCACTATTAAAACTGATATGAAATTAAAAATAATAATTTAATAAGTATTTATCGATATTTCAAAAGTAAATCATATGGTAATTAAAAAGCAAAAACTTAAGTAAAATACCAGTGCCTCAACACATGGCCTAACACTCACATAACCCATGCCTTAACAACTACACCAATGACAGCATTATTTTTAATTAAGGTTGCATGGCGCGTAATTTTGCGTAATTTTGCGTAATTTTGCGTAATTTTGCGTAATTTACGCTGTCCAAAATATTTTACGTAAAATTCAATTACAGTAAAATTAAATTCAAGAAAAAATAAATAATGTTGTTTGTAATTTTGTTAATAAACACCATCTGTTGTAGAATTCACACAAAATACCGGAATCAATTAGATAATAAACGTGTGGAAAAATTAGTTTAAGTTCAATGTCTGTATAATAGTTCAAATTCTAATGATATCTATTCAGTTTCTTACGATTCTGATGATTCTGATCAGGGAAATTATAGTGACATTGAAATAATAACTACAGTCTAATGCCGATATAATCAACTGGTAAAATTTTGGAAAATTAGGGACTATATTGGAAAGTTGATTATAATGAATATCTACCAATATATATCATCAGATGGCGTTATAGTACAAATATAATACAGTTAATTACAACATAGAGACAAAACATTAAGTTAATTGCTATATATGTATAATATTATTTATTGGCATAATTTTAGAGAATTAGTTATAATTACCTATAATTTCACTTATTTTTATAATATGTATTGATATTAGTTGATAAAAACCGATGTGTATATTATATAGAGTAATTACTTTAGTGAGAAACTATGAGAGAGAGAGAGAGAGAGAGAGAGCATTGATTGGATTGTTTACAGTTTGAGAAGAAGGCGGCGTTCACAAAGTACGTACGCTACATTTTAGTCAATAATTGACTCATCCCAGTCAATGTAACTATCTTTATAAATAGCAGCGGAATAACACTTAAAATCTATAAAACAATAATTATATTAAATAATTGGGAATCCATTATATTATTGGAAATATATACAAACCTCATATCCTTTGAATCTTGTGATGAGAAATAGTTTCCAACAGTAAAACCCAATCCCTTTCCCACCCAATCGCTCAATCAATGCCAGTAACTGTAAGATATGTTTGATTAAAAATATATTTATATACAGTATTAATATATCATTTATATTATATATATTGTATATAACCTTTAATCTACGGCTAAAAGTTAGCGACACATTGGTTCGGTTACGCGAGTAATAAGTGTTGAAATATTTATATAGAATAATATTCTGATTGTAAAGAATCGCTGAAAAGTGTATAATAAACACCAAACTTAATATGAATTCTATGGTTATAAAGATTCTAAATTCTATGGCCGATATTTGCCTATATCTCTAGTACAGACTATTTTACAGTTTGTGTTCACAAATTCATATCAATTTCTTATATACAGTATATCGTCTCATATCATAATTAGACAATAGATTTATTTCGAGACATAATCACTATTTTCATGAATAGTATCGGAATAACGCTTAATATCTATGAAAAGAATAATATTTTAATATTAGACTCAATTAAACACCAGAAATGTATGCAAACCTCATATCCTTTGAATCTTGTGATGAGAAATAGTTTCCAACAGTAAAACCCAATCCCTTTCCCACCCAATCGCTCAATGATTTTCATTACCTAGTTTAGAATTATGAGTAATAGATTCATTAGATATAAAAAGATGTACAGTGTGCAATTCAGTATATACAATTTACATGTATAAATTACTAAATTAAAAATTATATCAAATAAAAAGTTTTATTTGAAAAAATAATACATACTTTTAGTTTAGTGTTAAGCGAGAGATAAGTTTTGTTTCGTACGGTATATGCGTGGAAATGATTGTCCAAAATGTGATTAAGTTGTAATAGTAGAGATGAATAGTGTATAATTAACACCAGGGTTAAAAGAAATTCGAGAGATACTGCGAATACAAGTATACTTGCAATGAATACTATGTGTCCATAAAATGTCATATACAAGAGTACAGTAATGAATATGGTTACGAGTGACCAATAAATACCCAAAAAGTATTGCCAATAAATACGGTTATAATCATTAATTTCTGTGAATATAGCGTTAAGTATGCGAAGCATTTGTTTAATATTTGTTTCCCCCTTTTCAATGGTAGTCAGTCTATGATTTACTGATTGTATTTTAAGCAACAAATAGTATACAATAATCATATAATAAACCAATTGCCATATTATTATACAATTGATGTAATAGATATTTAATGCAGTAAGAATACAATGCAAACTGGCAAATATAATCATTATGTAGGTGGGTGATTGCATACCCATTGCAAATACCAGTATACATGAAATTAAATCCAAGTAGAAAATTGAATTTGTTATCATTTCTGTGAATTTAATGCATTTTCTGCTGAATGTAAGCAATTTGATGACCACTTGTTTGTCGTGAATCCCA